TCTTCCGCATTTCCGCTGCACTTCCTCCCCCTCCCTCCCCCCATCTAGCTCTAAGATGTTCCCTCTCTTCTGCGCATCAACCGGGGACCACGAAGATAAAGACAAAAATTCACTCTCAAGAGGCGGATGGGGTCCTAAAGGATCAGTATGTGTTTTCATTGCACCCCTCCACCCCGTCCTCAGGCGACTCCAGAACCAGAAGACCTGGAGAGTTTGCACTTCTAGTGACTGCCTTCTGACCCAGGAAAGAGCAAGCGTGCGAGATTTTTGCGCAAGCACCTCAAATAAAATTCTAGACCAGGGGAGAAGGTATACTCCTGCCTTCAAGTGTCAGGAAGTCATTTGGTCCAAACAGGCAAGCTAATGAGTTTGCACCTGACCTTTTAGCCAAGATGCCCCAAAATCAAACCTGGAAATGGGTGGGGAGCGAGAGGGAAGGACTCTGTGGGCATAGGAGAGAGGAAGTAAAGTGGACGTTTTGCTGGGCTGGAGCAGAAGGGAGATGTCTATAAATCCATTTCACAGGTGGAGCGTGTGTGTCACCTCAAGGGGCTGCAGCCTGAATAATGGCATCCCTCTCCCTCCTCACCAATCTCTAGTGCAAGCTGGCTCTAGGTTTCTGCATCTTTCTCCTGAAAATTCCACCCGCACTTCCAGCGCATGCTGGTGAGCTATCCAGCCCTCACCGCCCTCTCTCTAAAACCCTGAATCCTAAAACTAGCTCAAGAGACCTTTATCAGTGAATACCACAAATCAAATGAATCCAAAAGTGACAATAAAGGAGAAAAAATTAGGCCTGTGTGTTGAAACAGCACGTTTTAACTCCATCTCCCAAAAGTGCTCCCCCGCTCACCTTCCCCTCTCCTTTGGCCACTTACCTTCTTTGGGTGGTCGCTTGGCCTCCCTGGTAAGATTGCAGACTTGGGTGGTTTGCAGCTCCTGGGTCAGGCAGCCCTCTGTCTGCTCATTCAGGGGTAACACCACGTTATTTAACAAAACCAGCGACTGGTCGTCGATCCCCCACTCTCCCAAATGCTGAGGGCAGGTGCATTTTGTATACATGATCCCACATGATTCTGTTCTCCCATTTTCTGATTTTAAGCAGCTCTCCAACCAAGTGCATAATACATGGCAACCAAATTGGCTTGGGCTGACCTTGTTCAATACCAAAAACTCAAAAAAAGATTTCTGATCTTCTTCCCCTTTTTTCTGTAATCCTGGGAAATCAGATGGAAATACTCGACGTATTTGAATAAAATTTTTATCATATTGTAGAAAAACGAAAGCATTCTTGGAATTGCAGAGTTGCATTATAGAATGATTCTTTCTTAAAAGATCCTTTATTTTTTCATGGGAAAAATGATCAAACTGATAAGCCAGGAGTGAAAAGTTAGAGCAGCTAAGGTCCTTTTTGGAAAATTTCAGGTAAATGCTATATTTGGTTGGATCTGGATTTTCCAACGTCCAAGTGCAGTTTGTAAAGTTTTTGGGAAACATTTCACTTACAGAATACGATCCATAAATGACTCCCTTCACCAAAGTTGAACACCAGAAGTCTTGGGCAGCATTAAATCCAAACATAACCAGGAGATAGGTGGAAAATATATAAATCAGCAGGTTACGAACAGCCTTCATCCTATGTCATTTGGCCTGTAAAAATGGCAATGAAAGTAAAATGCAAGTAGGAGTCTACACGCATTGAGAAAATAAACTCCTTTCAATATTACAGCCAGCTGTTTTCAAGATTTCGGTAAAAAACCCTTTTTAAAAGAAGGACAGGTAATTTTTATTTTATAACACAGGAAAATTATCTGTTGCTGTGTGAACAGCGCCCTCATGTGGCCATTGACAGTGGTCAAATTCGCAACATTCCATTTAAAAATAACATTTAATAGATTATTAATAGGAATGCCCTAACTTATCTACCAGGATATCCTCCACGTCCATTATCATTCTATCGAATGAAAAGGGAAAACATGGAGTTTTAAAACGTCATAATGTAAACGCCAATTGTCAAAATAGTATTAATCAGTCTATAGTCTATACAACCTTTCTCTCTCTGCCCTTTGCCTGCAGTAAACACCATCATACAAAATCTAATCTGATAATCTGGGAACAGGCTGTCATCACATTATTTCCCTTCTCTTAAATGTGAAAAGTAATGATGATAAATTATGGCCACAATTTTAAAAGCACAAATGATAATTTATTACAGATGGAACATCATCTCCCAAATGCCCCACTTGCCTTTGCAGGGGCCACCATGTGAACTGCTCAGAAATTCCTTTCAAAAACATGGGCATTCATGTAGATTAATTAATTTTAAAAACATCATTTGAGAAAGGGCATAGATGGATAAACACATAGGGGAGACTTGTTGTTCAACATCACCATTGAGAACCAGGATTTAAGGCAGTCATTTCAATGTGACATGCCCTCTTGGGATACATAAAGTGGATCACTGTATTAGTATCTGTATCCAAAGGCGATGTCAGTAAAAAAAAAAAAAAAAAAAAAAAAAAAAAAAAAAAAAATCCAAAACCATAGTAATTGAGCTGGTTTCAGTCTTTCAATTTTTGAAAAATTATCTTATCAACTGTAATTTAAGGCTTACACATGGTAATAAAACACATTAACATTTTTGTTCCTAGCAGATTCCAATTATTGAATTGCTCCCTTTCCAACAACTCCAAAGCTCCTCTTTTCTTTTCTTTCTTTTTTTTTTTTTTAATTTCAACCCTGGCTTTGGATAATAAAGTAGTCCTTGATTATATTTACCTCTGTAAGTTGTTATCCAAAAATAACTTGAATATTTTTCAGCTTTAACCTTTAAGAAGTTATTTCTTAGAATAAATGACACTGCTTTTTGTTTGTTTGTTTGTTTGTTTAGCCTTTGAGCTGATAAAAGTGATGCCAAGTTAATTTTAAAAGTCTTTAGGCTGCAGTCTCTTCCACTGTTCTGTAAACAGAGACAGACATACAGACATATAGACAGTTAAGAGTTTTCATGCCTTTGCCTGGGTCTTCTCTGAACCAAAGGATAAAACCCTCTTCTTTCCCATTGCATAACACACACCAACGCATGCACACCAAATCCAGTGACCGAAGTCCCTGAAGATAGATCTGCATTTTCTAGATTATAATTCAAATTCTATGTCTTGATATAGGCAAACACAGCCCCAACTCTAAATCTCTATATAGCAGCAGTTTAAAATAACATCAGAACTGCTGGGACCATCAAAACAGTGTTCTCTGTTTCAAGCAAATAGCTCAATGAATAATGCATTTTCTTCATGAGAAAATAAAGCCAATGAGCATTTAAAGGTTAAAAAAACAAAAACAAAAACAAAAACAAAAAAAACCCAGAAAGTTGTAAGAAATTCTGGAAATAATTTCCGTTTTTTTTCTTTTTTCTTTCTTTCTTTTTTTTTTTTTTTTTTTTGCTGTTGCACTTTGCAGGCAATGCAGGTCTGCGCAGTGTTCTTCAGGATAGAGTGTAGGCGTTGAGAGCCAATGTGACAATAAGTGTCTAAATTAGGAATTCCATCCATGAAAGGGGATTTCATTTTATAATCAGGAACTCAAAAAGAGGTCGTATGTCTTTTCCTAATGAAACTGGTACTTTTGCTTCCATTTATTTGACAGTGCATGTCTGCAATGCCGTGCTCATCAATGATCAGAAAGAGTGAGGAAATAGCACTTTAATGCCTGCTCAAGAGAGCACACTCAGTATAATGCTCTTTATTTTTCATCAGTCTGGAGTACAGAGTCTTGTTTTGTTCTAAATAATAAAAAATAAATCATTACCCTCACCCCCTTTGGACTGCAGGGACCGTTCAAAAAGCTGTATTTCCCTCTTAAAGAAGAGGTGGGGGCAGGGGCAAAGGCTGGCCACGGAGGTGTCAAGGATGTTTTATTTATTTATTTATCTATCTATCTCTTGCTGAGAAGCAAACCAGCATTGAGTTTAGCTATTCTCACAACTGATTTTCTGGGTGACACTTTAGTTTAGTCGAACATAGACGGCGCCATCACTCCACAGATTTTTCCCCCCAGTAGAAGACCCACTGCCTTCTCTTAACTTCCTTTTAACCTAAAATTTTCCCCCCATAAAATTATCCCAATCACACAAAACTGCCAGATTTTCTAGGTCTCTCTGCTTATTCTTTCTGACCCAGCACATCTCTTGAAAACCAGACTTCTCTAACTTTTCAGCTGCGGCGTTTAAGTAAATGCAGACAGTCGGATTTGCTCACAGCCTCCCCATCCGCCAGCAACAGCCTTTCCTTTCATTTTCCTCCCTTCTCAAACATTAAGCCCAAAGCTCCACGGTGGCGACCCCCGGCAGAGAAAAGGTGACCCCTGGACCCCCTTCCTTACCTTCCACTCCGAAAGCTCAGGGAGGCTCTTGCTCTAAGACACCAGCACAGGCACGCGTCCCAGCAACAGTGACGGAGAGACTCCCCTTCGGTCCCAATCACCGTTGCCCATTTTCCCCGGCTCAGCTTCCAAAATCAGGATTTATTTTAAAAAATGCATACATACGAAAGGCAAAAGGTGAGGGGTGGAAGCGAAAGGGGGGTCGATGAGAGAGAGAGAAAAAAAAGCCACCAGGAGCCCAGAACCTTGCGCCGTATCCAACTGAATCCAACCTCCAATCCGAGGGGGGCTAAAGGGAGGAGAAGCCCCCCCAAGGGAGACTCTAAGGAACCCCCCAAAATGTAAGTGGCTTAAGAGCGAAGATTTGTTTCATAAAAGCTATCCCCAACAAACCGATTAGCCAAGAAGCAAAGAAAGCGCTGAGACGAGAAGTGACCGGCGGCGGCGGCTGCTATGGCAGATTTGTTGGGGCGGTGGGTTTATTACGGGAGTATTCGTGGTCGGATCGGAAGGCTCAAGCTTATGCTCTTTCCTCTTTCCGCTTTCCTCCCTCCTCCTCCTCCCCCCTGCAGGTACTGATGGACGGACGGCGACTAAGGAGAGGGGGGAAAAATCCTTGGCTGGTGATGTCGGAAAGCTGTTTGAATGCCCAGCGAGGAGGGAGGCGCGAGAGGGAGCGAGATAGTAAAGCTCTGTCTCGGGTGTGCGCGCCGGCGCGCGGTGCTCGCTTTCCCTTGGGCGCGCGCGCGGGGGCTGCGCGTGTCCCGAGAGCGCGTCAGCGCAGCGGCCTCCCGCGTGCTCGTGTGCGCGCGCGTCCCGGGTGCCGCGCGCCCCTCTCCTGCACAGCTGCGGTGCGCCCAGCCGCCCGCCAGAAGCTCGGCTCGCGCGGCGCGGCCGCTGCGACTTCCTGGAGTTCTGCCTACCGGTTGCGCGGGCGGGTGTGTGAGAGAAGGCGCGGGGAGCCGCAGGGTGGGAGAGGAGGGAGTCCCGGCGGGAGGGCGGGGTAGAGGCTGGCGGGAGGGGGGCTTCACGGAGCTCCAGCCGGGGCCGCGGTGCGCCTGCACGTCACGGTTACTCAAACCCAAGCACGTCCCGAAAGCGGTATTTTCTGCGTCTGGGAGGTTTTTGCATCCTCAGTTCCCACCGCTGGGGCTGGCGGCGACCAACTGTAAGAGAAACTCACTGGGAGGCGAGACAGGGGGATGCGGAGGATGGGAAGGCGACTCTGAAGGGTGGGAAGTGAATGCTGGACTTGATCGTCTTTCTCTGTCTTTCAGCGCCGACCTGTCGCAGCCAGAGAGCTGTCATTTTAGCACCGGGATTCAGAATTGATCCAGTCCGCAGCGGAGGGGGCACATCCCAGCTCCCGAGCTGCTGAGTGTCTCTGGCTGGAACAATAGTAGTTTTTCTCTGCGAGGCTGCAATTAACATCTTATTTGTTCTGGCTCCATACAGGCTTTGTCAGGATCGCGGTGCGGCGACCGAGGTTGGGCTCTTGCATTGCTTTCTGCTTGGCAATGGAATCATGGTTTCGGGGTCTAAACTTTTGTTTCATTTTGTAGTCTTAATGCATCTGATTCTTTTTCAAGTTTCCCTAGTAACAGGTTTGGGGACGGGGTGGGAAGAAACGAGAAAAGGGGTGAAGAGAAACAACCAGATTATATAGAAAGGGAAAAGGGATAAGTTTCCCCACCTTTTAATCTATCTGCCTGTCTATCTATCTATTATCTATCTATCAGTCATTTTGCCTCCTGGACAGTTGGCTGACGAAGTGTCTGATAAACCAGCTTCAGATACATGCTACAAAAGGTCATTCGCCTCCTGATTATGTCTCTACTTGTAAACGCAGTTGGTGGTTTGCAAAACAAGTGCTAAAATAGTGCAATGATGTGGTGGGAGGAAACCATCATGGGCAATTCATATAAAGTGCTGGAATCTTCATAAGGGTGAGTTTCTCAAGCGGCAGGTGAAGTTGAATAAAGCAATTTTCCATCATTTGTTCCCCTCACTCTTGCATTTTTTTCCTCGGCTCGTTTCTCTCCCCTGGGGCGATTATGGATAGCCAAGAACACCATTTTAAAAGAGATTGATAGTGAAAACAGGAAGATGCTGATGGTCTTTTATCCACTGAAGTTGTTTGAAATATTAAAATTGGTCCTTTACTTCTTAATACATATTAACAGAGTGACCCTCTTCAAGGCTTTCCCTTCTTAAACGAGTGCCTGGGATAAACACTCTGTAAGGGAAACAGTTAATAATTCCCCAACAGGCTTTAACTATTTTCCCAGTAACAGATCACCGGCAAGAGAGTAGCCTGGGTGGCATTTTGGTTGTGTGTCATTTTGGTTCTTTACAATATTTTTTATTCATTTAAGGAAATGTTAAAAGGAATAATTAGGGTTTATATCCAGAACAAATTTTGAAACACCGTTTAAGCAAACACATTTTCTTTTAAAAACAAAGAACATTGAGCAACACAAAGGAGAAAAACATTTTATTTCAACTTCCCTAGAGATCATAATTATGATTTTTGCAAGGCAATTTGGTCATTTCTGTTACTTTATCCAGAGGAAAAGAAAACCATGACAGATGTGAAATAAAAATAGAGAAAAAAAATGCTTTGGGTGGTTTATACATAAAAAGGAAATAATGTAATGGGAGGTTCAATTATACTTCTATTTTGCACCTAGTGATTTCTCATATTATCTTGTAACACTGTGATTTTGATGTTTCTTAGAAATTCTTAAAGTCATGACACAGTGGCATAAGAATAACAGCTGAAAGGGACAATTTAAAAGGCTTAATCCTAAATGGAAAGGATCACTTACTCCCAGGATCATTTATATTCAAGTAGAAGTCAGGGCAGGGTCAGAAAAGAAAGCCATCCTTAATAAAGCCCTTCACCCTTCACATTGTTTCTCATAACCTTCATAAATTGCAGGCTACTGAGCTGGCCTGATGATGATCCTGCTGAGCTATATTTATAGCAGATGATTTGTGGATGATAACTACGCCAAGCAAGACACGGTCTCCAGTAACCCCAGGCTCGTCTGACTTCCTCAGGGGATTATAATCAAGAATCAGGAAAAGAGCCCTATATGAACAGTCTGGTCTCTGGACACTAACAACAGCACAATCCAAAGGCAAAGCAAGGAAGGAACCACTTCGTTTCATGTCTGCAAGATGCTCCATATAGAAAGCATTGCTGACATGTTGACCCAACAGCAAAAAGAGAGCAGCAGTTCACACACCCTCAGCTCTCTGTCCTTTCGTTTCTATTGATGTTGGTCCACTTTTATGATTTAATACATATTAAATTCACCATTTCAAATTATCATTATCTGCTTTCATTGGTCTTTTTCATGAGGCCAAGTGTATGTCTATATTTATGTTTATATATAAACACAAACACATATTTATACATACCTATGTATATGTATGCACACATTTGCAAGTACGCATACACATACGTGTATATATGTATTTGATATGTATGTATTTCAGCTGATACACATATATTTGCTTGGGAAGTTTCACTATATTGCTTTGTATTTCTCTTTTATAAAGTAATGCATTTCATTCCAAAACTACCAGATTAATTGTATAAATTGATTATTACATAAGTTGCCTTGATGATTTACAGAAGAACTATTGAGAGGTCAGTGTTAGCATATCAAAATATAGACTGGTATTGCATTTTAAATTGACCCAGGTATTTAAAGTTAAAGCCTTTGAAATTTATCTCTCCTATTATTAATGCATTTTATTAAGATTACTTTGGAATGATGAGGTTTCTAAGTTTGATTTATCTCTGTTTTTCATCTTTTTGTCTGTATGTGCTAAATTTAGTCCCTCCACTTTGAGAATAACCCTATAATCCAGGATCACTGCTTAAAATTCAGTATCATTTGCACAATTCTCATACTCAAATAAGAATGTTTCTAGAATATGTTTACTCAATTTTAAAAAGTCTTTTCTCTTTCCTTCTTTCTCTCATAGTCTTTCTGATATTACCATATTACCACATTCTAAATTCTGTAACTTGTTATTTTCAGTAAGGCTTTAAGAAGCATGGATAGGCTTATAGATTATTTCCTGTTAAATATGCCTTAATTTTTTAGTATTTAGTATTATTATTTAGTTTTTAGTATTTAGTATTTGGTATCTCCCATATATATATACACACATATATATACACACTATACACACACACACACAGCTTTTGGAATGTTAATTAAATGATAAAAATATTATAAGATTACATTGTTATGAGTACTTAACTAACCCTTAAAAGTAGCATATTTACTATAAACTGAAACAACTTCTTCTCTGTCTCCTCCTGATTATTATTATTATTTTTTTGTTATTAAATGAGGAAGTCTCTCAGGAACCAAACTGTATATCCTCTAGTCTCTATGAAAAAAACAAATTGGTCATTTTCTACTTGGACATCCCAGAATAGAAAGTACATGGAAGTACTAAAAAATAAAGGGATAGACTTGGGGTTAAGGGAGATGTCATAGAAGAGCTATCCTGAGTTAGTTCAAGTGTAGTCCTATTCCTTGCCAGGCAAAGTCAAGGTTAAGTTTAGTCCAAAAATCCCAGTTACATCAAGTTTCCATTTTTTATCATTATTTCCCTATACAATGATACAAGTTTAAAAAAAAAGTCGGTAAATACTTTTGGCCATCAATTTTCAAGGTTTCATTGGTGATATTAAGGAAATACTGTAAGTAGGTAACACATAATGTCACATCTGTGTGCTGTAGAAGCATCTTGAAAAATATGAACTTTAAAAGCTCAAAATATGTGTTTGCAATTGAACATACATTCACCCCCAAATTTGTCCTTTTTCAGATAGTTATTTTTTCGTATAAAGTTACTATACTTACACCATTATCTTTAATCTCTGAAATTTCAATTATACTAGAAATCAAAATTCTTCATTTTTACCCACGAACCTGACACTAAGTGTATACCTCATTAAGGACAAGAAGCTATGAATTCTCTGGACTTCAGTTCTCTCACAGAAAAAAGCTTGATTGAATAATGTCTAAGGCTCTTCCTGACATATTCTAAATAACAGAAGGTGTCTCACAAGAAATGGAAGCAGTGAGAGAAAAATGCAATTAAATCCTAGACTAGAAAGAATCACAATTTTTCCACTCACAGGTTGGAAATGCCTCTCTATTCTCTCATAATTTTGAAAACCTCCATAGTTTTACCAGCTTTGCCTTTCCCCGTTGCTATCATCTGCTGAGGTACAGACAGTCCTTTCCATTTTTGTTCCTCTCCCACTCTAATAATTTTTTTTTCTTTGACAGAAGTCCCATTTTACCATTAATGATGACAATAACTAAAGCTGCCAGGAACAGCACATCTGCTGACCTTTATCAACACCAGGTATTGAAGTCTATGGACTACCTATTATTTCTGAACATTTCTTCATGTTCAGTCCTGTTTCCACCAATTCTGATCCACTTATCTCCACCATTTCTCTTCCTGGCAGATTCTCTCATTTTGCCTTCTGGATCTCCATGCTCTTTTATACCAGCAAACAAGAGGAAGAATATTCTCTACCCACTTCCTTGACTGAAGCCTGCTCTTTTATGAAGACATGGCATCTCTTCCAACCATGTCAAACAGAAGCAATTTATGTGTATGCCACTTCCATACCCTGATTCAATGGGTCAGGGGCAGAATCAGTATCCTTACTCTCCCCTTTGGTTTCAAATATTTACTCCTCATTTCCCTTTCATGCCCATCTTTCTGTAGAGATCAAGGCATCTGCCTTTGCAGCTTTACCTCTTCCTCCAGATTGTATTTTCCATTCATGGAATCTTTTAGCTGCCGGCTCGCAGTTTTCCTGTCCACCTGACTTCTATTCCTCTTCTCATGGCTTCAGCTCCCATGCAGATGTCTTATCTTATCCTGACACACTAGCTTCTCCATCCTATTTCTGTGTTTTTTGTTTGTTTGTTGTTTGTTTATGTTTGCTTGTTTTTTCCTACTAGTTCAACAACATTTCCCCATAGTCTTTAACTAAAAAGTCTAACCAGTGACTAAACCACTCCCAATATTTAACATTTAATGTTTCAGTGCCTTAATTACCACTTCTACTTTTAAAAACTCACCTCCTAAGTAACCACATAGGATCAAGTCTTTCACAAAATTCAGATCTTTTTTTTTATTATTATTATTGATTCCCACCAATTTCTACTCTTATCTTCATTTTCCTCCTTATACCCTGTGGTAAGCAGCCTCTCACATAGACCCTAATGATCCCTACTTCCTGGTATGTGTGTCTTTGTGTAATTGTCTCTCTCTTGAATGGGGGCTAGATTTAGAAATTTGCTTTTATCAAACAGAATATGGTAGTAGCAATGGATGTTAAGATATAAAATGAATGTGTTTTCCATCTTGGGAGCTCCTTTACTCTTCCTTAGAGCATTTGTTTGCAATAAGCCAGGTACCGTGTTATGATACAGTCCTAAATAGAGAAGTCCTTGTGAGTTTGGCCTTCTGAGGCCTGTCAAAAGACACATGAGTGAGCTCAGAAGTAGAAGCTTCCTCATTCAAGTCTTGAGAGGACTGCAGTCCAGCCAACATCTTGGTTGCCTCTTCATGACAGGCTTGTGCCAGAATCAAGCAGCTAAGCTGCTTCTGGATTCCTGACCTACAAACACTATAGATCAGGAATGTTTGTGACTTCCAACTGCTAAATTTGGGGATAATTTGTTATGCAAATGTAGGTAACTAATGTATACCCCATGGATTCCACGCCCATTGTTATGATAATTTACTTACAACAATCTTCAGCTATTTACTACATTTTCCTGGCTGGATCACCATGTTTACTGTGATGGACAACTGCCCTTCCTGATCCAGGACCCATGCAGCAGAGCATTACTGAAGAAATTCACACCCTCAGGCAGTTAGATGTCCCTGTAACGTTATAGTCACCAGGTTCTTATGACCTCACCACACAGACTGTTACTTATAAGCTCCCTCTCTTATTACACCTATGAATATTTTGTAACTTTTCTTTGATCATTAAAAAGCTTCTCCTCAACTCTTGAATGATAAGTGATAACCTTTTTTCATTCATTATTTATAAAGCAGATGTGATTAGATGGAAAATACCTTACATTCATTAAACTGACTCTACCTTCCCCCATTTTCTCCTGTCTTCCTATCTCCAGGGAGATACTGCCCTTATCTAAGAAGTCATCCCCTCCACAGGTAACTTGGATCTTACTTCTACTGGCTCTCACACCAATACTCTCTCCCTCTCTCCTGGACCACTTCCATCAGCATACATATTTTATAGCAATACTACCCGTCTAAAAACTTCTGATCAACAACCTGTTTCTTAGATCCCCTTCATAACGAATCTTTTTTAAAAAAGCAATCACATTCACTTCACTTCCTCACTTCCCTCTCATTTCTCAACTCAATCCATTCTGGCTTCCACCCCCACAATTCCACTGAAAAAATTCTTGTCAAAAATCACTAAAGACCTTCATGTTGCCAAGTTAAAGGGATAAATGTTTTTCTCATCTTACTCCAACTTTCAGCAGCATTTTAAATGCAATGCCCTCCTTTTGGAAACCACTTCTATTTTGGTTTCTGTTTTATCATACTCTCCCAGATATACTTTTATGTCACTGATCACTGTGAAGACACTGAGACGCTTCTCAGTGTCTTTTGCTTGTTCTTCTTCCATGTTAACTTGAAATGCTGGCTACTGTAGTGATAAGTGTTGGATGTACTTCCCTTATTTCTCTACCACCTCCCCTTTGGTGATCAAATCCACTCCCTAATATTGAATATCACCGTAAGTATGTATATGTGCATACATGCATACACACATATGAATAGACACCCCATGTATATTCCTTTAACAAGGATATCTCCTCTGAGCTCTAGATTTTTAAATAATCAACTGCCGTGATTTATATCTCTACTAACTATGCCTCACAGTCATCTCAGATTTGGGGTAATTAAAGGAAACTTCCTCATTACTCCAAAGAAATGTGCCCTTCCCTCAGTCTTTCTGTTTCAGGAAATGACATCCCTATCTACCTAGTTATTCAATTGGCAAACATGGGAATGATACCTGCTGCTCATTTTATATCATTCTACATCTAATCCCTTGACAAATATTGCCTGTTCTACTTTGTATAAGTTTCCTAGGGCTGCCATAATAAAATTCCACAATGTGGATGGTTTAAGCAACAGAAATTCATTTTTTTCACAGTTTTGGAGGCTAGATGTCTACAATCAAAGTCCCTATTGGATTGGTTCCTCTGGGGCCCCTTTCTCTGGCTTGCATATGGCTGTAGTCTTGCTGCCTCTTCAAATTTGGTTGGGGATGTGCAGAGATGGGCACAATTCAGCTCATGATATAACTTCAATACATAGATCTCAAATCTAACCAGTTCTTTCTTTTTTCACTGTTATCTTTTGTGTGTGTGTGTGAAGTATGTAGTTTTTGCTTAGTCTCTTCCACCTGACATTCAATATTCTTTGTTAATCTATCTCTAATAAGTTATACTTCAAAAAGTGTACCCCTTTAAAATCAAATGGAAAAACATTTTAATTCCAGGTACTTCTCACATATCACAAATAATAAAATCCAAACTTTTAATCGTGACCAACAGTGCCCTACCTCATCTGATTCTTGCTCCTCTCTCTAACTTCATCTTGTGCCACACTTCTGCTTACATATAATGGCCAAGCTACATTTACCTTTTTCTAAGTCATGAGGACACTACATTTTTATCTCCTTACAATCTTCCAATGTCAGGATCATTCTACCTGGAATAAACTTCCCTTTTTCTACTGCTAGGAGAAAGTTTATAGGCCTGACCTGCCCACTTCTCATACCTCAGATTTCAGATTTCATCTTGAAAATTCCCTTTTCAAAGTTTTTGAAATTTTTTTTTAACCACCCAGTCTATGGTGATCTCTCCTTGTGTTCTCTTTCAAGGTACTTATCTGTCTTTTTGTGTGTGTGTGTGCTCAGGTATATATTTTTTTCCTTTTTTAACATTATACTTTAAGTTCTGGGATACATGTACAGAACATGCAGGTTTGTTACATAGATATACACGTCTGCATGTTCTCACTCATAAGTGAGTTGAACAATGAGAACACATGGACACAGGGATGGTAACATCACACACCGGGGCCTGTCTGTTTTATACTAGTTACCAATTTTTATTTAGTTGGTCTTCATCTTTTTGCTTTTTATTAGTGTGTTACCTCCATCATTACAAACTCCTGCCTAAAGTAGTGCAAGACACGTGGTGAGCACTTCCTAGGTCTTTAGTGAATACATGGGTTGAACAACATGATGAATCTTATATGTGGGTATTAGTTGTGTTCATTGGAGAAATGTCTATTCCAACAGCTCACATATTCCTGCATGATAACTCAGCTAGAGTTCTCTCTTCCCTGGACCAAATTCCTGATTTCCTGAGAAATTTCCCAGGTGACATGGTCTCCAGACTTTTCATCTTTATGACTGTTTTCAATTGAACTTACCTAGTTTGCCACGGTTCTTTGATGCCACAATTAAAA